TCCAGTCGGCTCAGCATGGACTTGATCCAGGTCCCATTATGGTATGTTATCGACGTGTTATGTATTCGGGGTTAATGTGATAGGTAGTGCAGGTTTGGTACCGCATGTCATTACTATATATGTATATATAATAATTCAGGTCTGTTACCACATGCCATTTCTATATATGTGTATCTAATAATACAGATCTTGTGCGGGTGTGCAGGGGGATGCACGGCCTCCTAATAGCCCACGGGGAGAACCGCAAGACACTCTTGGTGGCCAACGGGCACGGCTGGATCACCACACACCCGAGCATAGTGCCGATATGGTATGGCAACTTAACTAGTGCAGTTTGTTTATTCCAGTGTCTATTATTTATTTTTATTGCTTGCGGGTGGTGGAGGTCATGGGAATAGTGTAAAAAACAGAATACTAGTTACTCAAAATAATCAAGATACTCTAATTGCCAAAAAAAAAAAAAACAATAACTGAAGGTAATCGAGATGCTAGGTAGTGAGGTAGCAACTTTAACTAGTGCATTTTTTGTGTTATTCCAGTGTATTTAAAAAAAAAAAAAAAGATTATTAGCGGTGTTGTGCTGTGATTTATCTATTATTAAGTTTTTCTAGCTAGTTATATATTTAGGTTGTGTTTAAACAGGTATCTACAGTTTCTGTTCATGGCATTATTATATATGTATGTCTGACTCAGGACCTGCAGGGGGATGCACCGCCTAATAATAGTCCACGAGGAGAACCGCAGGTCGCTCGGGTTGGCCACACGCCACGACCAGTTCACCACGGGGCCGGGCCTAGTGCTATTACGGTGAAGCAGTGTATTTGTGCATTGTAATACTGTTTCGTACTGCCTAAATTATAGGTTTATTTAATTTGATTGTGGTGTGTATATCTAGTTAGATATGTAGGTGGTGGCTAAGTAGTTTATATACAGTTTCTGCGCATGGAACTATTATATATGTATGTCTAATTCAGGACATGCAGGAGGATGCACCGCCTAATAATAGTGCACGGAGAGAACCGCAGGACACTCGGATTGGCCAAGGGCCACGACCGGTTACGGTATGGCAGCTCATAGAAAATGTGTGCACAAACCACGCAGAATAGCCTGTTTGTGCATTGTAATACTGGTTCATACTGTAATAGCCCTAATTTCTTATTAAGTATGCACATCTGTTATGTGCCCGGTCAGATTTGAGTGCCCGGGCAGATTATTTTACCGTATCCCTGTGCTTATTATACAGGAGGTTGTTTAAATTTTAGTTTTATTTAATTTTATGTGTACAGGAGTTGTGTGGTTCATTTTTTTTTCCTTTGGATCATTTATAGGGGGATGCACGGCAAGTACCACAAGCTACTCGGGTTGAACAACGCCCACGCGTTCCTAGACCCATTACAGTATGCCAAAATAAACTGGTGCACTAGGTTATACAATGTGCACGAGTGTCCGTAACAAAATTGATTTAACTGCAGGTTGATGCACTGGTACATGCGGCGGCGGCACGTGCTAGGAACCCTACTGCACGAGTAGGAGACGGGGCTACACAAACAGTGCACAACGCCACCACTACAAGTTCTACCGGGGTATGCATATTGTTTCCTTACTATTGCACCAGTTGACGTTGCTATATTGTTTCTTTTCTAACCAACCGCTTGCCTGTAGGGGTTCCACCAAGAATTCGCAGCCATGACTAGGGACCTGCTAGCGATAGCCACACGGGTTGCAGAAACAATAAGGAAAAATCAAACACTAGCTTTCGAGGACCGAAATTTCCCGAGGATTGCCAACGTGGGTAATCTGTTATTAAGCTGGGCACGTAAAGGGACACCACAAACCGGCCCACAGCCACCTCAACCACGAACCGGCCCACAGCCACCCCAACCACAAACCGGCCCACAGCCACCTCAACCACAAACTGTGACGACTGGCCATCTAGACGACAACCTTTGGCAAGACTCGCAATTCATAATGGAGCTAGACCGGGTGGAGGAGGAAGCAAGACGAGCGATAATACCAAGGCAGGCACAACAGGTTGCAACGCGGGACACAGGGGACTTTGAGGCACCAACATTTAGTCTAGGGTTGACTCAGGAGTTCGCAACCACGAGGGCAGACGGCAACACGCTAGGGCCGTCAACTGTACACACGCCAACTCAGCAGGTGAGGGGTATTAATAGGTACAGCCATGTGAATTACGCGCGATTTGCATGGTATTTTCTAACTTCTAGGTGCAGGTATCCATGCAAGCGCAACCGGGAGGGGGGTCAACAGCACAGCCCGTATCCCCAGGGGTGAGAGCAGGCCCGGATCGTCAGCCAAGGACCACCGTTGGGGCGGCAGACCAGCATTTTGGCATGTTTTTCAGCACCAGCAATGGGTACCCTAACATACCGTTACCACCAGTGTATGTCATTTGGATGTGGCTGTTCAACTCCCCACACGGTCATCGGTAAGTTGCATGGATGTCACGTGCGAATATATACAAGCCTGCGTTGGCTCCGTCATTTTGTCTTTAAAAAAAAGTAAAAATACAGGAATGAAGTTCTATTCCGCCATGCCACGCGCACAGTCAGATGGTATCAATTTTTAGCATTAAAGGCAAGGACGGATGTTGGGAAACCAGTGGTAGATGCATGGTGCTCGGTGCTCAATGCAAGGGAGCAACCGGGGGGTCGGGACATGCCTTCTCGATTGTTTGTGTCAGCGTCGGCGACGGTAGTGTGGATCATGCAATTTAATTTACATTCTTCGCAAAACAGTCAACACATAATGTTACACTATATACAATTAACAAGAGTATATATTCTTCGTAGTGCACCCATTCAGCACCGCACTGTGCACAAACAAACACAATTAGCATCTTGGGGTTTATATATATCTACTAACTAGTATTGGTGCAGATTGGGACGGTGGTGAACATTGCAGCCAGGCGGGATCAAAGGGTAATGTGGTTTCAACGGCGTCTTGATGCTGAATTCCAAACAACTCACCATGTGGGGACAGCCACATTGGACATGGTAAGACGCCGGTCGTGTTCCGAATAGGCGATCCAATCGGCTACGCATAGCGGACATCGTAGGCTAACCACTATTATTTGGGTTTTGCAGTATTTCTTCCCCGTATTCCACGAGGCACGATTCTACGTGATGTGCGTAAGTTTTAAGCATAATGGGTTTCTCATCATAGACAGCTCACCGACGACTAGCGTGGGGACAGAGATGTACGGCGCAGCTCCAAATGAGTTGGTAAACATCATGCACCCTCAACACTTAATACTATTGGTTAAGTATACTCGCACACCTGCTGAACTAATCTTTTGTTTCCAGAGGGACCTCCTCGCCGCATACCTAGATAACAACCAGCACACTGTGCGGGCGCTGCGGTTGAGGAACATGCAGCCCGAGAGGATGAGGTTGGCGTGGTCAGACAACCCTACCAACGGTGACTCGGGAGTATACACAATGAGACATATGGAAGATTTTGTTGGTCAAGATCCCAGATATTGGCATTGTGGGTTGGGGACGGGGGATGCCGCAGTGATTGAAAATATTCGGACGAGGTTTCTGCATAACATCTTACTATGTACAGTCAATGCCAACATCGATGATATCCGCACACGGGCAGTGGAGTATGACCGCCATAGGGCCGAACAACTAATGGGAGGAGCACCACAATGAAAAACTCGGGTATGAGGTAGTGGCTGCTTAGATCTATTTAGGTTAGTGCACAGCCTGAGCAAAGTATTGGCTGTTTAATTTTGTTTAGTTTGGTGCGCAGCACTAGTCTTCATATGGGGTATATATACTTTTCCAGGCTGGAATAAAAATTTCTTCAATGTTATCTCTAGAAAATGCCGGCACAAATGCATGAAAGGGTTCGTAATTGTATTTAATTTTACACTACTAATTTGGTAAAGTACAACTTCAGTGAAATAAATACACCACTAATTTCATGCGACACATGAAATAAATTCACCACTTAATTTAACTTACTATCACCATAGACCATGAAAAGCACCAGGGGTATGAGGTTGAAATAAATGCATTATGAGAGGGAAAGGTAGGTAGCTTAGATAGTTAATTTAACACGAAATAAAAGAAACAAAAGAAAGAACCATTCTAATTTGCTAATGATGATGGTATTTAAATTACATGCATGCAATACAGTGCACTTTTACTCCAATCCCATTATCCCATACCCCTTTCGGCATTTATATAATGCATGCATTGCATGCTTCAAATAATACACATTAAATTTACCACTGCAACAATATATGCATGCATAAATGCTTTAATCTTTTGTTTTTGTTTGGGTAGGGGTATATGCTTGAATTTGCTTTAAAATATTTACTCTATAACAAAGGTACACAAGCATTTGGAAACTTTTTATCGGTATTACAAGCTTACACCACAAGAGAATCCCTAGGACAACATATATTTTCCCCACATTTGAACACCTTGAATCCCTAGGACAAATTAACAGCAAACAGAATGATAACATGAGTATTTAGATCCAAGAACCCCACTTACCAGTAATAATGCGGGCAGCCAAACACCCACACCCACAAAAAAAAAAAAATTAATAGTTTTTAGAAGGTTAACCAATCACCATTCAGGTACCACAGAAAGCAGACCCCACACACACTCCAAACACTCCAAAGTCATTATTAATAACCAGATACACATGCATCTGCACTCCAAAGTCATTATTAATAATTGGATACAAAGGATATAAACGTAGAGTTAATAAAATTAGCTAAAATCGCCAGAGGAATGAATTAATAAAATGGACAAACACTCCAAAGTCATTATTAATAACAAATACAAAGGATAGAAACCTAGAATTAATAAAATTAAGCCAAAATCCCAATGTATCTAATCATAACCAGTAATGTCTGTTTCGGCGCACTAATCACTTCAACGGACAGCTGCGGGCATTATGATGTGCATACTCGCCGCACACCCCGCACTTTCTGCTAGCCTTGCCACTCCTCTCAATAGCTAACTCGCGTTGGCTTTTAATTCGCTTGCCGGTCCTTTGTTTTTTGCTTGAGCTGGCGGTTTGATAATTATGGACGTCGGCGGCTCCACACCGCACAAAGCTGCAATGGCAACACCGTTTCCTTTTGGGGGGTCAACGTCCATACCATCGCCCAGAAACTCGTCTCTTAATTCTTTTATTACCTGTAGCATTCGCGTTTGGCGCACTTTATTGCTTCCAACTATCACGGCACAATTGTGTATCTCAGTCCACAACTGACTAGGCACAGTTTCTAAAGGAGGGCAGTCAGAACATCGAGCACACCAGCTAGCTAGTCCTTCTTGCTTACACCATCGTGCTGCGATGTACCGCGATGGCAAGCTCACCATTTCGGCATCTTTGAACACAAGAAACATATGCCGGCAAACAAACCCCAATCTTTCAAACAACTTGCCAGCTACATGTCGCAATAGTCAAAGACGGGGTATATTCAACAGTATGGGCAACGTTGTACTCCCCTCTAATGTCGTAACGGATGCACTCACCATATGCATGGATCCCCACAACACTGCAATAAAAACATGCAGCTTCGATCTCTACCTGGAGCTCATAAAACACTGTTAAGGTAAATACCTGCGCCATGTGTCGCTCCAATGCTAAAGGAGTTTTGAAATCAGGCAAGGACCCTTCACTCTCAGCATTTAATTTACTTTGTCTGTGCCGTTGAGTTTCTAGGACGCTCTCAAATTGCACGTAGAACTCGACCAGACTGTGTGTTTCGTACGCTTTCTGAACGCGAGGTGGTACGTAGAACACCGCTCATGGGTAAATCTAAAAAATATGAAGGAATCCAAAACCTCCATCGGTGCCCGTTAAGTTGTACTTCTCCATTAATGACTGCCATTGCGTTTCAAAATCATCAATGCTAATGGTCTCATTCCACACAATGTTGTTAAGCTGGTTACGGAAATTCCTGATTCTTTGATATTTTTTCAGCCCCTGACTTCTCACTCACTTGTCACGTAGTAAATCCCACACCTCTCCAACCTTCTCAAGCGTTCCGCTCTTTAGTTAACTATGATGACGGATCACACCTACTCGTCTTGGGTGCTTCTCTCTTGTTCCTATGCTGGCTAGTTATTAATGACATGAGTTAGGCGGCTGCCAATAGTGCTACCTCCCTTACATACTCAGAAGTGGCTTAATTAAGTTAGTTCATCAGAACGGTTAATGTCGATTGAATTCTCGTTGACTTCATAGTGCCTTTTTCTCACAGATAAGGCAATATATCTAAATAACTAGA